GCGCCGGTGATCCTCCATCACCAACAATGAGCTTTCTCTATCCCAGCCTGACCTCAGGACCTCAACAGTTTCTGATCTCTCCGACACCAACTCCCTCGCTGTCCTGGATGCTCTGGTGGACATCCCAGTGGACTTCAGAGCACTTCTCCAATATCTGCCTTCTAAAGCGGACTTTGAACCCTAAACCCTCTGGAATCCGTTCTGCAGAAGGATATCCGTGGTCTTCAGCAAAACATATCTGCATTGACAGCGGGTATCCAACAAATGTCTCAACAAGTGGCCTTTGACACTCGGATCCAAATGACTGAGCAAGGGGCCAGCACCACCTCTGACCACCATTTGCAGCTTCAGCTGGAAGACCTGGAGGACCATAACCATAGAAATGACAGGATCTTGGTCTGCAAGATGGCTCTTCCATGTGGCAGAAGGCACTACATCATCTGGAGAGATCAGGATACTAATGCATGTTCCCTCATCCTCTGAAATGTGGTGAGCACGTTCTCAAGCCCCATAGGGCCTCCTTCTGAACTGGCACAATGATATTGAAGTTAGGAAAGCCTCGGCTGGTCTGCCTCTGTGACAAGCATCTGCCGATACCCGCTAGTGAGTCGAGTTGAGTGTGCCGAAAAACTTGGCTTTTCCTGGTGCAGCCAAGTATTCCTCAATCTGTGGAAGGCAAGAGGTGTACCTCATGGTAACCGGGTTCAGATGTTCCACTCAACAGTGGAAGGTGCCATCTTGTTTTCTTACCAAGCCTATTGGAACTGGCCGTGGGCTCTTACTCCCTTCCATTAGCCCTAGTGGCCTCATCTGTTCTAGCATCGGCTTGACCCCTCGGGTAGAGGTGTCCTCCGATATCTCTCCCATAGTCAACCGTTCTCTCCTGTGGGTATCTCGTGGGCTTCAGGTCATGGTCCCCCTATGAGAACACTTCTGAGAACTTTTTCAAGTGAGTGGAAGTCACTTCGGCTGAGGTCAGTGGTAATATTAGGGGGGTACAGGAGTGATGTCGGTGTAGTTCACCATGAGGTGCTCCAGGAGCCTCAATGTATGAGCTACTTGGAGGTAGGAGTTGGAAACTCTTTAGCTGAGGGTCTCTTAAAGGGTTGGCTGGTATCTTCTCCATGACACTCATGTATTAGGGAAGAGGACAGAGAGGTGGGAGCCTTGAGTGTGTGGAAGGAGCTTGGAATCCTCTCTCTGCTGGGCCTTGGAGGAATAGGACAATGTAGCCTAGAGTCACCTCACCAGCAGCTCCCCCCCCCTCCCCCTCCCCGGGAGGTAATGGATACGGACTTCCTACTTCTTACATGGACTTCCTACTTCTTACATGGACTTCCTACTTCTTAATTGGACTTCCTACTTCTTCCATGGACTTCCTACATGGACTTCCTACTTCTTACATGGACTTCCTACATCTAACATGGACTTCCTACTTCTAACATGGACTTCCTACTTCTAACATGGACTTCCTACTTCTCACATGGACTACCTACTTCCTACATGGACTTCCTACATCTAACATGGACTTCCTACTTCTTACATGGACTTCCTACTTCTTACATGGACTTCCTACTTCTAACATGGACTTCCTACTTCTTACATGGACTTCCTACTTCTTACATGGACTTCCTACTTCTAACATGGACTTCCTACTTCTAACATGGACTTCCTACTTCTAACATGGACTTCCTACTTCTAACATGGACTTCCTACTTCTTACATGGACTTCCTACTTCTTATATGGACTTCCTACTTCTCATATGGACTTCCTACTTCTTACCTACTCATCTACACCCTGCTCCTCATCATCTACACCCTCCTCCTCATCATCTGCACCCTCCTCATCATCATCCACACCCTCCTCATCATCATCCACACCCTCCTCATCATCTACGCCCTGCTCCTCATCATCCACACCCTGCTCCTCATCATCTACACCCTGCTCCTCATCATCCACACCCTCCTCATCATCTACACCCTGCTCCTCATCATCCACACCCTCCTCATCATCATCTACACCATCCTCATTATTACCATCCACACCCTCCTCATCATCATCCACACCCTGCTCCTCATCATCCACACCCTCCTCCTCATCATCCACACCCTCCTCCTCCACACCCTGCTCCTCATCATCCACACCCTCCTCATCATCTACACCCTGCTCCTCATCATCTACACCCTCCTCATCATCATCCACACCCTCCTCATCATCTACACCCTCCTCATCTACACCCTGCTCCTCATCATCCACACCCTCCTCATCATCTACACCCTGCTCCTCATCATCTACACCCTCCTCATCATCATCTACACCATCCTCATCATTACCATCCACACCCTCCTCATCATCATCTACACCCTGCTCCTCATCATCCACACCCTCCTCATCATCATCCACACCATCCTCATCCACACCCTCCTCATCATCATCCACACCCTCCTCCTCATCATCTACACCCTGCTCCTCATCATCCACACCCTCCTCATCATCTACACCCTGCTCCTCATCATCCCACCCTCCTCCTCCTCATCATCATCCACACCCTCCTCCTCCTCATCCACACCTTCCTAATCATTATCTACCCCTTCTTTTTCATCATCTACACCCTCCTCCTCTACACCCAGCCCCCTTGGCAGTAAGCTCCAGCTGCAGGAACATCACTGACCATTGATTCCTCCTGCATGTTACCCCTCATCATCATCTCCCCCCTGCTCCTCATCATCCCACCCTCCTCCTCCTCATCATCATCCACACCCTCCTCCTCCTCATCCACACCTTCCTAATCATTATCTACCCCTTCTTTTTCATCATCTACACCCTCCTCCTCTACACCCAGCCCCCTTGGCAGTAAGCTCCAGCTGCAGGAACATCACTGACCATTGATTCCTCCTGCATGTTGTCCCCTCCTCCTCCATGCTCCATGCGCTCTCTTCCTCAACATCTAATAACCATTCATGGTTGTTCATCCTCCGGCATCAGGTGACAGAAGCTGGGCTGAAATGATTCTTCTGACTCCTCCATTCCCTACAGAGGGACTAGATGTAGAAGAAGAAGAAGAGGGTCCATTTGCAGCTGCAGATGATGCCTGGGAGAAGGACGATGATGAAGGCTTGGTTATCCAGTCCACCTCCTCCTCCATGTTCTATAGCACGCCCACTGCCAGACAGGAAAGGAAGACGTGCACCTCATCATCATCTACACCATCCTCATCATTACCATCCACACCCTCCTCATCATCATCCACACCCTGCTCCTCATCATCCACACCCTCCTCATCATCATCTACACCATCCTCATTATTACCATCCACACCCTCCTCATCATCATCCACCCCCTCCTCCTCATCATCCACACCCTCCTCCTCATCATCCACACCCTCCTCCTCCACACCCTGCTCCTCATCATCCACACCCTCCTCATCATC